GCTACTAGGAACAAATGTTCAGTCCTGTTCAGTCCCTGGCCTTACTACGTTCGCGGCTCCTGGCCTCGCTACGAACGGAGCGATCGGACGCTACTAGGGGCAAAGGGCATCGCTTCCGTCTGGAAAGTCTTACCCATGCAGTCTATGATTTTAGTGGCGACCAAATTGTCCCAAGGCACCAAGCTCGCTTCTCCTTGGACCAAGCGGTCTTCCATGAGGACAAGCCAATGGTACAGTCGTACTTCTCGCCATCCTGAATGATGATATGGTGATCATGGTCGTTGTCATCCTGATAGATGGTTTGGTGACCAAAGTCACCATGCGAGACGACCCAGCTCGGGCTGCCAGGGGCCACCTCGGGAGGGAGGGCCAAGGCCGCTTCGCCGCTTCGCAAGAATGTGATGGCCTCCACCCTTTTGTGTCAGGATGCACTTGTTCCTAGTAGCGAACCTTGTTACTACTAGTAAGGCACTTGTTACTAGAAGCGATGCACTTGTTACTAGTAGCTTCTTGTCTCTGTCAGGGTTAGTTGTGCTTTCTTTTCAGAAACACAACATTCCATGGCATTGCATAGGCGAAACTTTCACCCAAGAAGCTGAAGCATCGGCAAACTCTGGGCTGTCCTGGCGGAATGGGGGACCCACAAATTCCAGCAATTGGTATTGTTCCTTCAAACATGACGAGAACCGAGAACCCAATCTGTATTCATCCACTTTCTATACCACAGAGCCAGGTTGAGAACCTTTTCATTCTCTATTTGGTTGGAGGCCAATCGCTGGTAGGTTGGAGGCCATTCTCTATGAGGTTGGAGGCCATCGTTATTAAGCTGTTAGGTTCCTTGAAGTCTTTTTCTGGGCAAACTGATGACTTGGCCCCATTGATCGGCTCTTTCCGGACGCTTCGCTTCAGCATCCACCAATGTCTTCGGGCGATTTCACCCAGCCGCGGCTCGTCTTGTGGCGCCTGACTTTGTCAGTGCCAAACTGTCAATCCACTTCGAAGTCGAAGTCGACCGAAAAACGCTGCGACCTCGTTGTGTCACCTAGCCACCTAGCCACCTAGCCATTGGCGCGTCGACGGCGTGGTCTTCGCTTTGACTCTCCATCGATCCCTTCGGCCCTTCGGCAAGCCCGGACAGCTCCGCATCCACGGAGCGCGCCACAGGAAGGCACCGGCGCCACCGGCTTCCGGTCACATCGCGGCGCATCGGTGTCTGGGGCTCACTGGGGATAGCAATGCTGCAACGAAGAGCTGCACGCATATCATAGAACTCAATCACGATGTCACCACCGCAGTTGGAAAACCCTGCAATCTCACCGAACTGTTCAAAGCTGTCCTGCCGTGGAAGATCTGCGAACTCAGAGCTCGACAACCTCACCGCACGGAAGTCCTTCATCCCTTCCGGGGCAAGCCAAGCGTTGGGTTTGAAGTTCGAGAGGACCTGCTGGGCCACCCGCACATCATAGAAGGTTACAAGAACCAGCCGATCTGTTGATGCGAAGGATATGTCCAACCGGGCCACCTCATAACCCTTGAAGAGCTCGGAAGCTTCTACAAAGGTCGGGCACTTATGAAACTGAATTGCCACGGTGTTTGAAACCGCGAGGCATGCAGATGCGGCCATGAATCCGGAAAACGGTCTCGACCCCGCCACACCGCCCCCTAAACATGCAGTCTTCCCGTCTCTTGGGCCACGGGTCCGGTCGGCCATCGCTACTAGTAGGGAGGCCATTGCTCCGGTCGGCTATTAGGTTCGTGAAAACTAGGTTCCTTACAAAGTAATTGTTCTTAAAGTCATCTTTCAAAACGACTCTGACAACTCTTGTTTGAGCTTGTGCCTCGAAGTGGTTGTATCTGGCCTCTGTCCATCTGTGATCTGCAGCTGGAGTTTCCTCATGAACAGTCAAAACGTACAAGATTGAATATTTCGTAGCAAGGAAATAAGGAAACATCGTAGCGAGACTGACAGATCCAAGCAACTGGTTCTGGATATTGTACATATACATCAGATGCAAACGCATCCGAAATGTGGAGGCCTCAAACATAGCACGCAAGGTAGCAAGGGCAAATGCACGTGAAAACAATGCAACAAGGAGCTGAACTTTTCGCACCTCTGTTTTTGCAGAAAAGCTACCGCCTGTAATGCTTTAGGTCTCTCTTTGGATTACTTCTAGATTCTTTTGGAGGCCATCGCTATGGAGGCCATTGCTATTAGGTTCTTATATATAAAATAAGCAAAAAAAGATATCAAACTGCACAATTGAATCGCAAAACAAGACATTGCGACCACGGAACCTAGCAGTAGCGCCGCAAGGGACGCTGAGCGCGGGCGCCCCATCCCTCTCAGCCCTGCAGGTCATGTGAGCTAAGAAGCAAAGAATGTGAGCTACCTTGTTATTGGTAGCTTTTTGCTCCTAGTAGCGATGCCAGGAGCCCCTAGTAGCTTCTTGTTCCTAATGAAAGAAGGTCTTTTTTTTCAAGCAAAAAACTGGTGCAAACGGGTGCAAAAGTCTTTTAAACAAACAAACGGTGCGAGACAGTGAAGAACTCTGTCGCACAAAGGCGGGTTCTCGACTCAGAAAGCGAAAGCACTCGTGGTCGACGTGGAACAGGCTCCCCTCGCTACTAGGAGCAAAGGGCATCGCTACTAGGAGCAAGGACGCTACTAGGGGCTCCTGGCATTGCTACTAGGAACAAGAAGCTACTAGGAGAAAGAAGCTACTAGGGTGGAGGCCATCACTACTAGGTTGGAGGCCATTACTACGAGTAACAAGCTCTCTTGAAATTGATGATTTAGGGTTAGAGATGGTCTCTAGAAATGTGTTGGAGGTCTCTAGAAATCTCTAAGTTGCCAGATTGGGACGTATGTTGTCTGGACCACACCCCAGGTGCTCTCCAAGCGGCTCAAACTGCTCAATCGCTCCCGAGCCCACAAATTTCTAGGGCTGAGCCAAAGCGGAGTCCAAGCGTGCAGCATGAAACGACTACACAAACCAATAGCAACCCAGCAAAAGGAACCGGACAAAGAAGGAACCTAGAGATGGCCTCCAACCTACTAGCGATGGCCTCCAATCCAATAGACCTGTCTTCCTTTTCTTTCCTTTGTTTCCGCTAGCAATGGCCTCTATTAGCATATCGCCTTCACCTTTTGACATCACACTCCCTGTTCTGAAAAAATGCGGTTCTTTTCAATCTTTTCCAAACGAACAAAAACAAACAGTGAAAGTCTGCATACGACAGTCTCGGTCTCCCCACGTCGTACATGAGTCCGCCTTGAAGCTGCTTCCTCGAATCCGTCCGGTGCTCGGGGCTCGGCCAACGGCTGAAAGGCAGGTGATCTTGACAGATTATAACCTAGTAGCGATGGCCTCCAACCTACTTAAAGGTCATTTTGACAGGTTACATTGTTGCCTTTGCCTTTCAACAGCTTAGCACTAGGGCACTAGGGGATTCCAACGGTTTTTGAGCCGCACTAAGCCTTTGGTCATTTCCTTCGTGACAGCCTTTAGCTCTGCTCTTTCTCCATCCAGAAAGATGCCCTTTGACTGGTTGCCCGTTTTCGCATTCGAGCTAAGGCTACCGTGGCGACTGATTTCGTGACGTTGGTGAGTCTTTGTTGGACGACTTCTTTCTTTAGCCCGCTCCCCCCTACTTAATTAAGTAGGCACCGACTTAATTACTGTAAGTAAGGGACTAGTACGCTACTAGTATGGACTAGTACGATAGCTATTCTTAACCTTCCAAGCTTTGTCTTTCTCAGATCTGGATCACAGATCCACAGAAGGCGATATCGCTTTTGATAGGCGGGCGGCTCTGGCAGTGGTCATAGTCCGCAGGAATATGCGTCGCAGTTCAGGACCGGGATCCATTTTAAACCCCAACCACATGTGGAGGCCATCGCTAGTAGGTTGGAGGCCATCGCATCGTTTGCGGCGTTCGAGGCGTCGTAATGCCCTCGGTTTGGGCTCGGCATTAAATCCATCACGCTTGATCACAAGCCCAGCTGGTTCACCATTAGGAGATGCATGTAAATCACGGACCCCGAGAAGTGATTTCCTCCTATTTAACTCTTAAAGTCTCAACCAGCAAATGTCTTCGGTCAAAAGACAAGCCAGCATGCATCTTGCAGTCACAGTTCGCATCAACCGAGGAGCTCAAGCTTTTCGGTCTCAGTTCTCATCTTCTCAAAATAGAGTCTGTGCCTTCGACGTCGAGAACTGCACCACTGTTGGGAACACAATGAGAGACCGGGTGGTGCTGAGATCATTCGCTACTAGTAGCTTCTTGTCACTACTAGTATGGCACTTGTTACTACTAGCGATGCACTTGTTACTAGTAGCGAACCTTGTTCCTAGTAGTAAGGCAAGGAGCCCCTAGTAGCTTCTTGCATGCTAGCTTCAAAGGCTCTCCAACGCCGGCCGTCGAGTTTTCCGCCTGGGCATGGGTGGCGGCTTGGGAATTCTCTCTCCACTTTCCTTGGCAACCTCGAGTCGCTGAAGAGCAACACATTGAACAAGAAGCAGCGATGGGAATACATCGGAACACAAAAAGACTAAGAAAAAGCTAAATGAAAACAATCCAGAAAAGGAGAAGGATGGACTCTAATAGCAATGGCCTCCAACCTAGAGAGAGAGGGAGAGAGTGAGAAAGAAGAACATGAAAGAAAAAGTAAAGACCTCTCGGTCCAAAGAAAGACAATCGTCACACGCTCGGCCCCTGGCCATCTCCGTCCCAGGCCAAACGAACTGAGGCCAAGCCTCGCGCACATCCGGGTGACACCACGACACCCCAAGCAGTGACCAAAGGGCATTACTACTAGCAACAAGGATGCTTCTAGTAACAGTAGCTCCTGGCCTTACTAGGAGCAAGAAGCTACTAGGAACAAGGGCATTTCTACTAGTAACAAGGACATCGCTACTAGGAGCCAGAAGCTACTAGGAACAAGGGCAGTTCTACAACAAGGGCATCGCTACTAGGAACAAGGACGTTACTGGGAACAAAGGGCATCGCTCCTAGGAGCAAAGGGCATCACTAGTAGTAGCAAGTTCAAACACCAGAGCACCACAGCGAAGTACGGATGGCCTCCAACCCTACTAGCGATGGCCTCCAACCTAGTAGCAAAGTATTACTTTATCCCTTTTTGCAGCTTGTTCCTTGTTTTTCCCTTGTTCCCTTAAGCTTCTAGGCAGGACGTGGGATAGCTCACGCACTATTCATTTGGTTCCTAGATTTTGGGGCACACTTAACTTGCAACATTCTGTTCGGTTTTATCTTTCCTTTGAGCTCGTCATTTGGCTTCAAACGCTTTAAAACGGCGTTGCTCGATTTGCTACAATAGAAGCACATGTGGTGCTCGAACACATGCCAACATTAACATGTATGAACATCGAGAGGCAATACTTCCGGTGGAGTATACCACCTGAAGTGGAGGAGTTTGAGCAAATACACTTTCTGCACAATAGACCATCGCTAGTAGGTTGGAGGCCATCGCTAGCAGTTCTTTTTGGCCACACTAGACATCCTGTCTTGATGGATGAGACGCTCGGAACTGACTGACCTGCTGGTATCCCACATCGATTTCCACTGGCTCATCCTGCAGGAAGGATGAGACAGGTGTGAAATATGTCAAGGTTCCCAATCGACAACCACGTCCACATGCCGAGTCCTTCACCACCTCTCGGATGTAATTCCCTGCAAAGCAAACGCAAAAGATACATTCAGCCTTCGACAAATCAGTCAAATGATGTCCGGTCATGGGTCAAATCCGAAAGAATGCAAGAAGTCACTGAATAGAAGGCCATCGCTATTAGGTTGGAGGCCATTGGCTTAAGTTTCCCTAAACATCTAGTAGCCCAATAAATAGAAGCGTGAGCTGTCCACCTTAGTAGCTACTCTACTAGCTACCTAGCTACTACTAGCTACCTCTACGGCCTACCTGGCCTAGCCCCCCCTCAGGCTGCCAACTTCTCAATCACGTCTTCTTTTGAACTGCTACTAGGAACAAGTGCCACGCTAGTAGTAACAAGTGCCTTACTAGTAGTAACAAGAAGCTATTAGAATTAAAATAAATTAAGTTTAAATTACTAGCTTCTTGTTACTACCAGTAAGGCACTTGTTACTACTAGCGATGCACTTGTAATTACTAGCAAAGGAATCTACTAGGTCTTCTTTTGAAAAGATGTCAAACTGTGGTTGGTGTCTCTGTGCCTTGGAAGTGGCAGACTGCTTGCCGCAAAGGCGAGATTCGATGCCTTGGCGATCTCGACATGAGACATATACTATATATATATGTACATATGGAATTGAATTGAACAAAATCTAAAAACATATTTAAAACAACACAAATTATGGAAAAAAAACAACTTTGGAACAACAGACACAACTTCATCCGGATGAGACCGGGGTTCCCGGTACTACCCCGACCAAACAGGAAGAACAAAGGAAACAAACAAAGCAACGACGGCAAAATCAAAAGAAATTGTTAAAGTGAACAATAGAAAGGGCATCCTTTAATAAGGCCTTAGGTGCCCGCTAGCTTGTTCCTAGAAGAGCTAGCTATCTCCTGAATCTTCCTACGAGTCCTGCCTGCCACCCCAAGTCCACCCCATGCTGGCGGCGCACTTCGCCCCACTCCACTTGCGGCAAGTGTCAAATCCTTTTCCATCATGGCGAAGTCAGCTGGCCTTGGAAACGGTGAAGCGAACATTGGGCCATGTTCAAAGGCGTCCAAGCTCAGTGGCGGGAGGCTCTCGGGCCAGTTGGTCAAAATCACGTCTCCTGCGAAACGGAGAAAGTC